TATCGTCTTTCCTAAGTAAATACAGCTTATTAATAGTTTGATTTTTTACACACTCGCTTTATGAAATTATACAATGCCCTGTTCCCTTATAAATTAATGATAGATTAAAAACGTGTTTTTTCTATGGATTATATGTTCTTCGCGGATCAAAATTCGGCCTTTCCGAACCCGAGTCTGATTTTCAACCGCTGGGCTACCACAGCCCTGCAAGTCCTATTAAATGTTGTAAGTTTTGTCTAAGAAAGTTTTATTTATTTTAAGATCATTTTTAGGAATTTTTAATGTTATCAAAATTTGGGATCTAATTATCATAAATAAGTAGGGGAGAGTGGGGTCAATTGTAACATTTTTTACTTAACTATTTTTAACTAACAAAAAATCCAATATATTATTAGTATTAATTGACAGACGAGTAAAGTAGACTATCCTCTACTAGAAAAAAAATAAATACCTGATTTTAAATATTATTATATTAGTTATTAACAATTTTTGACAGTCGTGCAGTTGTTACAATTGTCCCCACTTACGGGGTCAATTATAACATTCATAAATTCAACTAAAACATAGTTAATTATACATATTATCATAGTTGTGATATATTCTTATATTGATCAAAATAGTAGTGATATTTTAGGAGTAAAAATAATAATGAGCAGAAACCTAAAGGGTTAAACTTTTAACTTTAAGGGGTTAAAAATTTTAATTTATGCTGTGAAAGGTGACAAATAAAATAATGCAAATAAAATAATGCAAACTATTGGTGGTTCTTAAAGAGTTAAGCATTGGTTTGTAAACATAAGATTATTTATTTTCAGCTGTTACAATCGTCCCTTTACTTATTGTTACAATTGTCCCCAAGACGCCATTTCAGCTTCATTTGTTAAAAACAATGCTAGTTAATTAGCAAAACTAATCTTTTTTTTATTGAAATGTAAATTAAAATGTCCACTTACATATTCGGTTACTAATTTTTATTTGCTTAAACAAAATTACTTTGTTACAATATAATATTCTAATACCAAAAAAAGTACTTGCATGGCGTGAAAATATCTTTTGTGATGTAACTCTTTCAAAAGTACATAAAAATAGTTGCCATCAGGGGTGTACATGTAGATTTATTAAATACACCTTGTGCGCCACCTAGGAACCAAATCTAGAACCCAACACTCGAAATTTTTGCGCTGTTACAATCGCACCCTGTTACAATTGACCCCACTCTCCCCTACAGAACATATTAAATTCAATATTCGGAGCTTAAAATATTTATGTGCAGCTGCCATATACGAGTGATAAAAATTTCGAAAGCAACATACTAGTGTGTACAATGGTAGTTGTTGAAAATTACCTATATTATCATTTTCCTATATATATTTCTTTTGCTATGTTGAACAAAAATATATATAAATGGCTTAACATCCACTTCTGGTGATCGAAAAAATAGCCTCTCGATTTGTTTCCTTCGATTCTTTTACCTGTCCGTTATCAATAGAATTCTCCTACTTTCTCCGTTATTTCATTTTCTCGAAAGGTAGCCAAGTTTTTTTTTTTTTTTTTTTTTTCCGGATCAAAAAAATTGTAGTCGTTGCCGAGAATTTTTTTTTTTTAATATATATTTTAGTGTGGTAGCAGAGTTGGTGGTTTACTGCTGAACTCTAGGCAATCTTGAATTTGTAAAGGCTGAGAAAAAGAAGGTAAAAATCGGAAAACAAGGGACGAGAAAGAAAGAGAGAAAAGATATAGAAGTGAGACACAAAAGAAATATAATATAAATTATCCAATAGATTCATGGGGAGATGCGAACGTGGTAACCGATTTTCTCGATCTTTCCATCGTTATATGGGAAAGATCTCCAGGGCAATGCATCTGTATATAGCTATTTGGAGGAAAAATATATTACTTTTTAAAACTTTAATGAATACTTTTGATTTCCCAGTCAAATTTTTTTATTTAGTTTCTGGAAGTAATGGGTCAATTTATTATATACTTTATTTGTATCTTTGACATTTATAGGAGTTTCCGCTTTAGTTTTGTGTGTAAAGAAATACATTTAATAAGATTCTTCACTTAATTCTAAAGTAAGGCGTGAAAATTCCATGCACCATATCGCCATTGGCGCCTGAGTATTGACAGCTGGCGAGTATATAACATAATTATACTCAGAGCAGAGTTTATTAAACTGTGGATCCCGATCTGCGAAATCTGGAACAAGAGTCACCAAAAATTGTAGCGATTTCAATATTTCTTTTTAACATATAATAGTTTTACAATTACCGAATATTTTTACACAATGTATCTGGAAATAGATAAAGATAGGACAAGAGACAAAAAGCGAAAACGTGCCGACACTTTTTTATTCTTGTATTATAGTTTAAGTTAGTTACTTATTTAAAATTTTCGCATTGCTCTGTATTTTAAAGTCAATGACCTGAATTGGACTAGTACAAGCAAACTGACAATTCACATTTATGCATGTGTTGGATTTGCGCAATCCCACAAAATTTTCGTCAATAATATGTGGTCCCCACCCCAAATAGTTTGATAAACCAAACCCTGTTCTAGAGTAAAAGAGTTTGACTCTAGAGTAACAGAGTTTGATTATAGAATAATAGAGTATGAGAGTAAAAGTAAAGCAATACGTGTGCAATCGACAAATGGCATTTTAGTGCTGAAAGTCAACATTATACAAATACGAAAAGTTAAAAAGTTTTGGAATATTTCAGATATTTTTCGTATTTTAATGATATGTGGATGATATATTGAAACTATCGTATCGAAACCTTATGTAAACCTCATTTTAAGTTAATATTATTATCACTAAGCAAAAAATATGCTTCAATTTCTCGGTATCTGCATTCTTTTTGTGGTTTTGGACACCTTAACTTTGTTTTATGAATTAGAGATTGTTTTTGTAATTAGTCTCAGAAATATGACTACACGTAAATAAATTCTTCAAGTCTCAAAGATTGTAGAAATAAAATGGAATCGAGCTATTTTTCTCATGACATTTTACTAAAGGGAAATAGTCAAAAGCCATTTTGTTAAAAAAAAAATACTAAACAAATTTAGTCAACTACAAATGACATACTCATCAATAAACACATAGTTTCCGCACAAAAAGGAAAAGAAATAATTCTAAAACAGACTTGTCAAATCCTCTGCTTAGTCATACCGTGTCTGAAGCTGTATAATTCATTGTATGTAGTATGTATTTCTAAAGAATAAAGCTTTGCGTGCAATAATCTGTTGATGCTCAAAACAGCAGCTACATTTCTATTGTTTGGTGTCATATTTCCCCTTCGTGGTTCATTTTCGCAACATTATGGACAAAAGTTTTCTTTGGCCTTTTTATTGAAAGTTTATCCTTCTGTGAAATTTTTTATTTTATTTTATTCTTCGGATTTATTGTAGGGCAATGATAACTTTTCAAAGTACATCACATGACATTATGGACTTTTTTATGGGACATTGCCGTTTTAAAATATTTTGTATGACACTAGTTAAAATCTAGATCATCTGATTTTTGTAACTTTTTGTCATTTACTGAGAAGACGGTGGTCTCGTGTCAATATAGGAAGAACTTAGATTCGTTTAAGTGCCCTTCGCAGAAATCGAAATCTCAAAAAAATGACCCTTTTAATAAGAAGGCCTTTTACAAAACTCAGAGCTACTTATATGGACCGTTTGTTTTGTTCTAAACAATGTTCCTTGAAATAAATCTTTCTATACCGTCTGATTAATATTACAGCTTGTTATCTAAGAATCTACCTTTTGCGGTTGTTGGCATTAAGTTTATATATTGTTGGCATGCTTCTTGGTAAAAATATAATAATTTAGTTCAATAAAAGTATCGCTTAAAATGCAGAGGAAAAGAATCTTTAAAGAACAGAATTTTTAAAACATCTTAGAAAAGAATCTTTAGCAGCGAACGATGTCATTTCTGCATAAGGGTTGCTATGCAATTCTCAATCCTTCTGATGTGTTTTCTCGAGTTTATAATTGCCGTTATTGAATCACTCTGAATGCATTTCTAAAACTTATCGATTTAAATAACAGTATTGATATTCTTAAATTATTTTTAAGATAAGTATGGTTCTTTGATATGGTGGCTGCGGAAAAATTTTTTTTGATGGCTGAGATCGACGTACCACTGCCATATACATATACAGGAAGAAAAAAAACTTTAATGGCTGAGAGTCGCGAAGGGTTGGAAAATTTATTTTCATGCAGATTAAAATGTGCATTTCTGTATGAAATATTGATAAAAATGCATTTAAATGGTCTAGAAAATTTTTTGGAATGTAAAATATTATGTAATTTTTCTAACAATCAACAATAGATAAATCAGTTTATTTTAGATTTTCGTTATTTGATTCCTTATATTTGCTTAATTGAAATTAGAAGTATACTTTCGGACTTTTTCTAAAAACAATTAAATTTCATACATTTGAATAATTATAAAAAAGTTAAATTTTTTTGAAAGGTTAGAGCAAATATAGGAACTGCTCTTTTTAAAAATTGGCCTTTTTTTTAAAGTCACTTTTGAAACATCAATCTGTTCCTTAGTATTGTTTCCAATGAGAATACTTTTCACGTTTTCAGAATTTCCCGTAAATAGCAGCAAATCACATTGAATATCTGTATGTTGTGGTATTTAACTTGCGCTAATTATTTAAAAATTTAAAAAAAAATTACATTGGAAAATTATTTTGGTAGTTAATTTTAAATATTAACTCATGTTGTTATTCTGATTATTCAGATAAAAACGTTGCAATTTGTCCTAACTATGTTTTACAAAAAGTTCGAAAATTGTGAGAATCCTTTTGAACACCCCCTTTTTCTATACTGTATTAGATTTTTTTTTTTTCCTTTTTGATGAATTTTCCGTGATTTTATTTTCAATAATTTTAATATTTTTTTAAATGAAAATTTGATAAACAGTTAGCTTCCTCATTAAATTGATTCATTTAATAATTTGGCTAATTTTCTTCTCATTATTACAGCTCTGATGAAGAAGAAGGCCAAGGGCCCAAATATACTAGAATGGATGAAGATAATATGCAGGATAAAGAACGATTTGCGAGGTGAGCTTTAATTCGCATTCCCTAGAATTTTCTGCGTCCCTATGATGAGTTACGATAAATTCTGTAGTATTTAAAGTTTTCTGGCTGATAGCTACATCAATTCCAGCAATTGACTAAATTATAAATAATCCCTTTGACAGCTTGATGTTTTATTACCCTTTTACCCTTGGGTTTGTTCTAAATACCTTAATATTTAAAGTTTTTCAATCTTATTCTTTAAAAAAAAAAGGAATATATAAGATAATTCTTATAAATATTATTCGTCTCAACACAATAAAACTATTGTATAAGTATTATTATCAAAAAACCTTGGGAGTTTTTTCGCCGTGGTATTCTGCGAGATTTTAATAAATATTGTTTACGTATGTGAGTAGACTTCTTGTTGAAATTAAATACCGTTTTAATAAGGTTAAACTTAGACGTTCAATATTGTGGAATAGATTATGGAATTTACATGTATATTTGACAGNGGTTCTATATTTATATATATATATATATATATTACTATTTTTGCCACGAATCTTTTTTTACACTCATGTCCATAAATTAAGGATGATTCAGAATCACACGGAAATTGAACTCTAAACTAAAAATTTTAACATTCGAATTATCACACAGATTAATATGCAAATTAGAGGAAGCCACCAGATTGCCCCTATAGTATGACACAATGCCGAGAGAGGGGTATATAAAGAATGGTGGCTAAGAAGTAAAATTAATCACAAGTGTTCTGTAAGCCGTCCAGACCCACAACCGAATACTTATGACACATAGGACACATGTGGATTTTTACGTGGTAGAATTATCTGCCGTCTAGAATATGGGCGTACTCAGATGGTAGTATTCAAGGAACTTGGAATTGCTTAAAGTGTCATCTCTAGGCTTAAGCAACGATTCCAAAATAATAGAAATGTCAGTAGACGTTACAGTACTGGTCGCACCCGAGTTACAACGCCGAATAAAGACAGATATTTTACAGTAATTGCCAGAAGAAGCAGACGGAGCACAACATCCGACCTGCTTTGTCAGCTATCTGGAGTCAAGGGTAATACAGTTTCAATGCAAAACGCGCCCAGAAGTTTGAGACATTTTGGTCTATATGCTCGCTGGTCCGTCAGATGTGTTCCGTTCACAGCAACTAACTGTTGCCATCGATTAGCCCGGAGTAGAGAACACTCTTAGTGAATATCGTCACAATAGGATTGTGTGATGTTTTCCGACGAATCTAGGTTTAGCTTGCAGTCTAATTCAGGTCAGACTTTCATATGGAAAGCATTACCACATAGAACAGCATCATTGAACGTAACCGTTATGGTGTTGCATGCTATCTCATTTGGGGTAGAATTATATTGGGCTCCAGAACATATCTGCATACTCAAATCGGAACCATGACAGGCCAAATTTAGCGAGATATCATTTTGGAGCAACATGTTCGTTTGTTTAGGGGTGACCATGACGCAGAATTTAAGTTTATGGATGACCACGCCAGTTACACGGAGCAAACAACATAGACGAATGCCCTCAATCTGAGGATGGAATGGCCAGCATTCTCATCTAACTTGAATCCGATAGAACATTTGTGGGACATGCTTGGCAGAGATTTGCAATTCGTCAACTACCTTCTACATGTGTGCCTTAACTTCAGAGAGCATTTCTTGCCGAGTGGAGTAATCTCCCCCAAGATCAGCTCGATAATGTTATACTCAGCGTGCCTGAGCTTTGTACGGACTATATTTCATCGTATTTGAGACACAATGTATTTGCCATCGTACCAACCATGTAATATTAAGTTTTCTATATGAAATATTTCTTTTATAATTGCTCTAGGAAGCGAAAATCATAGTTTTTGTGATTGCTGTGTCACAGATGCGCCATCTTTTTTGTTCTTTATCTTTTGTTTAATAAATGGGTTTTATGAATCAGTCACGTTTGCTTGTTTCTGAACTTCTATTTGCTGGAAATGGTATTATCCTTAAATTATGGACGTGAGTGTAATTCCATGTTGTATAGATGCTATCAAATTAGACAAATTTATAATGATCGCGTTTTTTTTTTTCTTTCCAACTCAACATAGTGGAATGTATCTTTTAACTTTCAAATTGTTATTATTATTATTTTACTGGAAACATAACTAGCCTTGGTTGGCATCACTAAAAACGATGTTGAAGGAAAAAAAATCGTCAAAGTTGCTGCGTGAGTGAGGATAAAATTCATTGAATCGAAAAAATTGATGGCTCCCAACTGTTTTAATTTTTCTCCACTTTCGGTCTTAAACATCGTTAATATCTTTTTTTATTTTTATTTATTTATTTATTTTTTTTTAAATATCTCAGATATCTATTTTAAAATCTAGGCAGTACTTTTTCGGGAATATAGTGTATGTAAAGTTTCTGTTTAAGTAAGACACTCAAACAAGAGCTTTTATATTTTTCTTAGCGAAAAAGCTAGGAAGAACATCTTTAAAATTTGTTCATTATTATTTTCAGGGAGAAAAAAAATTAGATATTAAAATTTAGTATAAAAAATCCCGGTGTAAATCAAATGTTACTTCTTTTTATGGTATTAGTAAAACTTGTAAAAGAGCGTATAATTTGCATTTTTTCTTTCATAATTAATCTCTAAACCGGCTTGCGTGATACTATGAAAATCTCATTATCGACTTTTTTTGCGCTTTAAAGAGTGCTGAATCAGGGATTGGTGAATAGTAAGTGGGGCTAATGGGGGCACGGGCAATTACAGTTCCTCGCCTGTTTTGAAATTAGCTGGGAAAAAGGGGGTTCTGAACTTTTGGTGATTACCTGCATGCGACGCTACCATCAGGTGAACTCGAAAAATCAATTCTGGTGTATTCTTAAATAAACTGTATGACAAATATTCCTCCTCTTGAGTTAGCGGAGAATTTAGATCATTCAGCAAAATTTCTACGTTTTTTTCTTTTTATAATTGTATCCCTTGAAGGTAAATAAAATGAAGCTCTTTATTTTAATGTCGTTTAATTCGATATGAATAACTTAAAAGTAATTCAATCCAAGGTTGGTTCAACCTGAAAAATGTTTTTAATATCCATTTGTAAGTTTTAATATGCGAAATATTAGAAGAAATACACAGCGTCCATTTTGTATTTTACCGCTAATCTGTATCAATATCTGTGGGGGAGAATAAGAATTTTTTGTCACATAAATGTCAAATTTTCTGTTATAAATTGTGTTTTGTAATTTTTTGAATCCGCTCTTTTGTTTCTTCAATATATAAATTTTTTAATATACTGCAGAACGTAAAAATTTTAGGATATATTTTAATTGCTATGCTTTGTAAACTTATAGTGCTAGATTTTTGTCAGCTTAGACTTGGCAGGGGAAAAAAATCAATGAATTAAAACTTTCAGTGATATTGTGACACAATTCGAGTTTTTTTTCTTCTGTATTCACAGCATTTGAGAAAGTTCAGTGCGAAATAAAATTGTATAATGATTAAATATTTAATAAAAATTTTTTTTTACACTTAAAGAAAAAAAAGGCATTTTTACTAATTTATATGTATAACCAAACTTAGTATTCGTATATTTCTTAAATTAAATACTATATATACTTTTAAAATTTCACTGACATAATTTAGTTACATAATCTTTTACTTACATTCTCTGTCAAATCTTTGTTACTCCAGAAGCGTAATGATACTCCTTTCTTTGTTAAAAACTAATGCTTAGAAGTAAAATTTATTCTATTTTGAGTAAACAGTTCTATAAGCAGTCGTTTTAAAATTTAAATTTTTTTCTGGTATAAAATAAAACATAAGTAATAAAATAGATTTACACTTCAGTAACAAAATGGTACCTTTTCGGTATCAAAATAACATACAACAATAATAGTTAAAAGTTATATAAAATCTCAGAACTTATCCTAATGCATTGCTTTTATATAATGTGTATTGGAAGGCAACAGATTTTAATGGAATGATAAAAAAAAAAGTTATTATTAAATAAGTAACATTCTTTTTACATTCATTCACGATTACTCATTTTTGATATTTGATTATATCAGTAAAGTGTGTGCCCGCCCCTTCTGTTCTCGTTTGTACCAGGAAATGTAATGAGTACCACTACCCTGAAGTAAATAACTATATGTATGGTTAATAATAATGAGTGTTGTGAAGTTGTTTGACTATATTTGTCGAAAATTATTGATATTAAATTAATAACGGCTGTGAACTGTGTGACGAACAATAATGTATTGGGTTAAATAAATAAATGCTTTATAGATCAGGGCTCGAAGAAATTCAAAAGTTTTACATGCTCGGTCAGTCAGCGATGTTACAGTCCAGTGGCGTATAATTACCCGCTCTCTAATTTAGCATTTCTTTAAATAAAAAATAAAAAAACTTCATTATTATCATTGTTTTAGTTTAGGTAGCAAATTTTAAAAGAAATAAAAATGTGCATTATATTTGCGACTAACTATACCCAATAGAAAATCTCCAAAAATGAAAGCGAGTCGTTTGTTAAAGGCTGCTGGATTGTATGTCAGCTGCTGGGCATATCAGTCTACAAAAAACGTGTTCGCATGTAACTTTTACGTCTCCAAATATCTCTTTAAATTGTATATTTATGAATGTACATGATTTAGGATATTTTTAATTAAATATGTAGTTTAGTTTTAGTTTAGGTAAGAAATTTTAAAAGAAATAAAAACTTGTATTATATTTGCGACTAACTATACCCAAGAGAAAAATCTCCAAAAATGAAAGCGAGTGGTTTGTTAAAGGCTGCTGGATTGTATGTCAGCTGCTGGGCACATCAGTCTACAAAAAACGTGTTCGCATGTAACTTTTACGTCTCCAAATATCTCTTTAAATTGTATATTTATGAATGTACATGATTTAGGATATTTTTAATTAAATATGTAGTTTAGTTTTAGTTTAGGTAACAAATTTTAAAAGAAATAAAAACTTGTATTATATTTGCGACTTACTATACCCAAGAGAAAAATCTCCAAAAATGAAAG